AGAATCTGACTGACAAAGGCAAGAGGGACTGTTTGCTGTTCATTTAGGCAGGTCATGAAAGTTCGAGCCGAAATGAAAGGGAAGCACATGTGTGCTTTAACCAGTGCTCAGGATGCTTGATAAACTGCCCTTTCCATCCGCCTTAGGAAAGAGACATGTCTTTCCACCTTAAAATCAACATGGGACTTACTCAGACTGAATCGTGCCTTGGGGAGCACACGCCACAGTGACCCGGACAACTGGAGCTAGAGGGACTCGGGTTCCCGCCCCCACCCCCCTACCCCCCAGCCCCCGTCAGCCCTGGGACTCGGGAGAAGTCACTCCCTTGGCTCTCTCACTTACACAATCAGTGAATGGGGATGATGCAGTTCACCCAGCAACAGTAAAGCGTTTTTTACGTGAGTCCTGACGATATTTACCCCTAAAAATGGGTAAGAGTAAAGCTGAAATCCTCTCCAGACATCTCCAAACGTGGCATGTTTTCCACTGCCCGGAACGCCGTGCAGACTGCCCCAGCCTAAGCTGGGGGTCTAAAGTCACGGGCTAGGCCTCGGCTTCCTGATCGAAGGGATCCAGCTCAGTGAGAGGCAGTGTCTTTCTAGGCGTCTGCCTCTGTCACCACAACACAACAACGTGGAAAGTGGAACTAAGGGGGCTGGACGTGAAATACAAGCCACCTGGCGTACATGGTATTTACTGGAGAGTTGGGGGGGCACCTCGAAGGGTAGGCGGTTCATTCATCAAAGACAGCGATACACACGGGGGATGTTGCGTGCCTGCACGACTCCAGAGGGGGTGCTCCGAGGCGGAGAGGAATCTAATGAGAGCGGATGTTTATCAGACAATTCCTAGTCTTCCCCAGCAAGAAAGGGCAGGCTGGTATAAAGGGCAGAACGCCACAGTTTGGAAGAGAAGGCACACACAGCCTAGTGTGCTGTGTCCCAAGTCCGACAGATGACGCCAGGGGAAGAAAGGCTCCCAGGCAGGGCGGCAGTAGGAGGTAAGGATGGGAGGCCTAAGAAAGGGTGATGGGTTTCTTCGGAGACAGACCCAGAAGACATGCACCTCAATGTTCATTGCAGCGTTATGTACAATAGCCGGGCTATGGGAGCAACCCAAGTGCCCATCAGTAGGTGAGTGGATAGAGAAGACATGGCACATGTATACAATGGAATACTACTCAGCCATAAAAAAGAAGGAAATCTCACCTTTTGTGACAACATGGATGGCCCTGGAGTGTATTATGCTAAGTGAAATAAGCCATCCAGAGAAAGGAAGTACATATGGTTTCACTCATATGTGGAATCTAAAAAACAAAATAGCCGAGCAGACGAAATGTAAACAGACTCACAGATGCAGAGAACAGGCTGTGGTTGCCAAAGCCGGGGGCGTGGGGACTGGGTGAAAAAGGTGAAGGGACTGAGAAGGACAGATTGGTAGTTACAAAACAGTCGTCTGGACGTAAAGTACAGCACAGGGAACATAGTTAATAATAGCGTAACTACTCTGTACGGTACCAGGTGGGTACTGGAAATATCAGGGGGGATGCTTTGTAAATACATGACTGGCTAACCACTATGCTGTACACCTGAAACTAATACAAAATTATGTTGAATGTAAGCTGTAATTTAAATATGTATTTTTAAAAAACAATTTAAAAAAGAAAGAATAATGGGTTTTGGAAAGAGCTAGTGGCCCGATGCTCTGAAGATGTGTGCGTGAATATGTATATACACATGTGTATATACATACATATTCATAGGCATAACAATGTGAACGCATATGTCTGTGTGCCTGTCTACACACACACAGACATACACGTAGCTATCGTAGTCGACTCTGTTGCTGCCCCGCCCACATCCTCCCCATCAAGTGCCAGCACCTTTGCTTCTTCCTCTTGCTGCTGGAAGCCACTTAGCCACCTCAGTGGCAGTCTCGGAGTGGCGCCCAGGCAACCCCCTTCCCGCTGGGACAGCGAGGGGCTGGTGTAACCAGGTCCCGTCTCTCACCCCTCGGGCGGGAAATTCTGAGGCCTGGGTCTCACACCGGCCTCCAGACTTTGCCTGGCAGGAGTGCGCTCTGGTCACACACAGGGGCACAGCCTTGTGTGGCTGCCTCACCTCCTTGCCGCCCCCACACGTTCCTCTGCCACAGTCTTCTCCATCTCTCCCGAAACTACAGACACGCAAATACTTGTTTCAGGGTCTGTTTCGGGGGGAACCCCAACTTAGACATGTGAATGTGTGTGCTTGTATTTGTATTTATAGGCATGTTTATATAGATGTGTATATACGTGTGTGGATACATATAATCATAGATAGAGATGTATATACATACAAACAGGCACACACACAACTACCACACATGCTGAAAGGCATTAATGTGTTCATATCTTTCTACACACAGCATTGTTGTTTTTCTTAACACCAAAGCACAGCAAATTGTTATGCAGTCTCCTGTTTTTACAGGGGAGCCTGCAGCCAAGGCCCCTCTCTGGAACCTTCTAGTGAAGCATCCAGCCTCACACTGGTGCCTTCCAAGCCCTCGCCCAGCTTAACCTTCCCACTCAGCAGGACGGCTCGCACGCCCTGCCCGCCTCTCCCACGGAAGCTTCCAAGGCTACTGCCGAGCAGCACCCTCCAATCCCAGGCCTCGGAGCACCAGGGCCAGGGTGCACCTTTGCCTTATGAGCTTCTAAAACAAACCTCTGCACAGGGACCGCTCCCAAGATAGGCCATTTGCTGCCGAGAATCTTTTGAGGGGAGGGGGACTACATCAAAAGATAGCAAAAGGAAAGAATATTAAAAATCAGGTTACTTTAATGACAAGCTGCCAAAAGAGCAGCTGACACCTCAAATTTTTGCATTCCCCAAAATAACACCTGCTCTCTGGCCCTCCCCTCCCCGGGCTTCCCCACAAATGTCCTGCCCCCAAGCCCGGGCCCCGCCCTCCCTCCCCTTGTCCTGTTAGTGCAAAGACGGTCTTCAGGAACGTAATCAAAGCCATTAGCTGCCTGTTAGGTGCTGAGGGCGGCAACAGGGAGAACTAGATAGAACATGGGATTAGGAATATAGAAGCATAAGAAATTAGATGTAGGGATATAGGAAATTATATAGAATGTAGGTCTGGGGGAACTCACCAAGCAGGAAAGCTTGGGCAACAAACTTCTTTGGATTTTTATTTCTTCAACCAAAAAATGGAAGCAGGACTTCCAGGGGCGTGACTTCGGCCCTGAGGTGCGTTTTGTTTAGCACGCACTGTGTTTGGAAACACATGAAATCTGAATGCCTTGAATGCATTGGAGTTTGTGCTCCCAACCCATATAAGCTCTGAAGTCATTTCCAGCCCCGCCACCGGATAGCTTGGTATGACTGTCCTTGCTAAATCAACAGGACCTTCTGTCCTCCTTTCTGCCTTCTAAATGCCTCCCCAAGGAGGCTCACCCACCCAGCCTGGGCACGCCTTTCTGTGAAAGATGGCTTGCTCAGGGGAAGATTTAAAATTTCCTACTTAGATGCACCTTGTTTTTCCTCAATCTACCCAAAGGAATGAGAGGGGAAAAAAAATTACCAGAAAACCAGACAACAACCAATATGAAAGGTACAAAATTGAGAAATGTGCAATATTTAATGGCAAATAGAAATTACTTACATACAAAAACACAAAGCTATTTAACCATAATTAACGAGAGGAAATAAAGGAAAGTTGAAGCTGAATATGCAAAATCATGTTCACCTTCATTAGTAAATTACCCCTGTGTTTTTATATACTATTACCACATGGGGTGTATTCTATGCCTCATATTACGTATGTTATATATAGACCCCTCAGTCTCCCTCCCGCCCCCCTCCTCGTCTGCCCCCGTCCCCATACAAAATCCCCTTGCCCTCGGCCATGTTTACTCGACTCTGGACTCTCTAAATTGTGTGCTAGGAAGGGGGAAGATTTTGAAAAGACATGTAGAGAAATGACAAATGATATGATTTATGACAATCCACATATGATTCTACTTTGGTGAAATTATGATGCTAGCGTTTCCCATTATTTTTTAATATTCTGAGATGCACATTGCATGTTCTTTATTACAAAAGATGAAACACTTTAAATCTATATGGTGTAAATAACTGGGAACGGCTGGTGAGGGCTAGGTTCCCCATCATCACCCTGACCACCAACATCACCCATAGTTTACTCCAAATTTAAAATACATACATAAAAAAGACACCCTTGCCATCATAACACAAACCAAGTTCCTTTTTCATGGTTAAGCACTGGAAGGTGCCCTGGGTACATGAGTTACAATAAGTCAACAATGCTTGGAAGGGCAAGTCTATGGATCTGCCTCACCAATCCCTACTCTGCCCTGGGTCCACAGCTTAGGGGCTGCTTCTTCCTGTCCGTTCCCCTCAACGTAACTGGCCCATCCTGTCACCACACAGGATACACTGACCAGGTTCTGTCACCACACAGGATACACTGAGGCGAGCTGTGCTTGACCCCATCTGCTTCCCATTTGACCGCACTCAAGAAGGCAACAGCTGCCGCAACAAGAAGCTTCTTTGCCCCAAGAGCAGAGAGTCCATCTTTTCCCAAAGAAGATGGCAAGGGGAGGGAAATCAGTCTCTCTCCCTCATTCTTTAGACCCGTGGTCCTCAATCAAGAGTGACCTTGCTCTCCAGGGGACAGGGGGCAGTGGCTGCAGACATTTTGGGTTGTCACACTGAGGGGGCGAGCGCTACTCGAATCTAATGAGCAGCAGCCAAGGATGCTGCTGAACATCCCACAATGCAGGAGAAGCCGCCGCCACCAGGACCCACCCAGCCCAGAAGGCCAACAGCATCAAGGCTGGGAAACCTGCCGCATAGAAACGAGCTTGTCCCTTGGTTCCATTTCAGGAGGGAGAGAAGGGGAGACTGGGGGAGAGTCAGGGCCGCTCCTGGTGGGCCCCAGCTGCAACTAACCAGAAGTCAAATCCTGGGAACGCCCAGGGCAGTACTTACAACACAGGAACACCTGGTGCATTTGTTTCCTTCTGGCTGAAAGTCTTCCCCTTCTCGGTACTGCACACCCTCAAACACACAGCCTGCAAAGCAAAGAAGGGCATAGAATGAGGCAGCAGCCTTGGTTCAGTTTGACAGGATTCTTCCATCCACTGCTCATCCATCTCCCATCTCCACCCCCACCTAGCAGAGGGTCCTCTCTAACCAGAGGACAATATTGCTTCATAGTGAAAAACAAACAAAAAACCCAATAGAATATGAAGCGCTGACATGGGCCCAGAGAGCCAAAGATGCTAGAAAGCACATAAGAGGCTGGAAGTGGGGTCAGCCTGAGGGGATCTGAGCACAGGGGTGAGCGCTGCAGAGTCTCACCATGAGCTCACGGACCTCAGCCCGGGAACCAAACCCCAGAGCAGCCGGAGGAGGCGGACGGAGGAAGTCCCAGCGAGAGACGTCCATGATGAACTAAGTAACAGAAGAACAGGAAGGGCTGCCTCTTAGTGAGTGCCCAGGGATTATCCAGCCTCTGCCAAGTCCTCCATACCACAGATCACCCTCCATCTTCCTGGTGAGCTAGCAAAGCAGGAGCTCTTGTCATTGACCCCACAGATGGGGAAGACGTGCCTCAGAGAGAAGCAACTCACCCAGCTGGCAGGTGGAAGAGCTGGTTTTGAACTCAGTTCTGATCCACTGGCCACACCATACAGAGGATGAAGCACCAAGACAAGAAGCACCAAGGCAAAGGCAGGTCAGGAGGTACCACACCGGTTTTCCGTCCCACCCTATGTCCTGTTATAGGGGCTGCGGCCCCCACCAAGTCTGGCTAAAAATAGAACCAGAAACCCAGGAGGTGTATCCCATTCGCTCAGGATGTGAAAAAAGTTATATTCTTGACAGATCTCACAAGTGACCTAAAGCACAGGCTGGCCAGTAACTCCGGGTCACACAGGCCACGGAAGGACCGTCAGCTACTGGCAAACCCACTTTCCTCAGGCCTGTCCTCCAAAGGCACTTCGCCAGAATAGCTGAGGGCCCTCTCCACACAGGGCACAGTGCTGGAGGCAGTAGTGCCAATGGCTACAATGGAGCAAAGGGGGCTCTTGCGAAAGACGGACCCATGCCCCTGGCAGGAAGTGTCGGAGGCCTGCCAACTGAACTCATCAACAGAACCCACCAAATTCTTGAAGCAGATGGCACCTTCCAAAGAGGAATAAGTACTACACCCCCCCCAAGTCCGCCCTTCCCCCTCCCACCCCTCGCCGCTAACAGGCTGCTGGACCCGTTCACTTTGACGCTGGATACAGAGCCCTTTGTTCACCTGAAAGACGCGGAAACAAATGGCACCACCGAAGGTGCATAGCTGAGTGATTCAGTTTTGAGGTCTATCTGGTACCCACACCCAGCCATCCACCACCTCCCTGCTGTCCCCACTGAGGCAGGAAGGCCTAGTGAACCTGCGCCCCTGCCAGCGGCTGCACCTCGGTGTTGCTCAGGATGGCAGGCACCCGTCTGGCCACCTCTTTTCAGAGGACACCGCCAACAAAGACTCTTCAGCTCTTTCATTCACAGGCGCCTGCACCGCTGGTTCTGTCATGCGGCGGCCGGGTGATGAACCACAACGATGTATATTTGGCAACGTAAGTAGGGAATTTTCCATGAACGTTCCATGCAAATCATTCCCATCACAACCCACCATCCTTGAGCAAAGAGTCAGAAGAAAAGGAAGGAGTAGACAACCAAGAATGCCCCGAAATCTGCCTCAGGAGGAAGCTGACCACAGATCGTACACATTGGCCATACTGTGGAGTACCAATCTGTGATCAATGAGAGATGCCAGTCCTGAACACCAACGGCAATATCCCAAGGCTTCCTCTCTCTAGACGTGGCTGGGTCCAGCCTCCCAAGACAAGGATAAAGCATTCTGGATCCGCCTCTTAGTCTCCTGGTTTACATCCCAAAGGATGGCCTTTGAAGTGACGGAGAGGGAGCAAAGTTGATTCCTGACCCCATATCCGAGGGTACAGAGCCTGCCCAGGTGTGCGGGCCTAGTGCATGTCCCTGGGATGCTAACTCTAAAGGTCTGTCTCCCAAGGCACCTGGAACCAGGCAGGACAATTGTATCATGGTATGTGGGGTGTTGAGAGGTAATACAACATGGTGGCCACATCGAGCCCAACCTCACCTTCGGCCTTTACCCACTCACGGGCCCGGTTCTCATTGGGTCCAATTCCTTCCTCTGTGATGTGTGGGCAGTACCTCATGCCTCCCTGGGGGGTCATGGGCACTCAACAGTGCAGTATATACAGTCATGGCGCTCAGCCTTTCTTTCTTGGGAACTCAACTGAAAACAGGATGGAAGAAGCAGTTCCTCAGATATAATGACTTCATCAGCTGAAATAAATTCACTCTCATGTCTGGAGACCCACATTGTCAAAGGTAGCTAAAAAATATGGCTACCTCCTGACTGAGAGGAATGTTACATATGCTGAGTCTGTATCAATAAAGCCATGGTCTACTCGGTGCAACTGAATTCATATGTAAGAGCTATGATCATTTTTAAATCTATACAGGGTAAAAAATTTGCTCTGTTATCAATCTCAGGCTTGGAATTATCTGGGAGGGCTGGTCCATGAAATTCAGAGATTTTTCCTGGAATTGGTCTGTGATGCAGCCAGAGGCATCCATGTTTATTTTTTAATTTTTTTTGTTTTTAAAGATTTTATTTATTTTTAGACAAAGGGAAAGAGAGGGAGAAAGAGAAGGAGAGAAACATCCATGTGTGGTTGCCTCTCATGCGCCCCCTACTGGGGACCTGGCCTGCAACCCAGGCACGTGCCCTGACTGGGAATTAAACTGGCAACCCTTTGGTTAGCAGGCCGGTGTTCAGTCCACTGAGCCACACCAATCAGGACTCATGTTTATTTTTTAAAGCTTCCCGGGTGACTTTGATATGCAGCCTAGACAACTAGTGATCTAGCTTAATAACGATTTTTTAGGAATTTAAAAGTGTGGTTCCATGATCCAAAGCCTATTTAATGCATTCAGAAGGAAAAAGTACTCGGGCAAACTCTGGTTGGTACAAAATAGCTGAAGTACGGAAAGAATTATCAACCCGTTTTTGGTCTCAGTGTGAGCTCATCCAATAATACTTCGCAGAAGTCCAGCTGTGAAAAGGAAGTTTGGCTCAGTGAAGACTGCGCAGGGAACTTAAGAAGGTCGGAGCTAGTGGAGAAGGAGCGTCCTTACTGTCAGGCAAAGATGAGAAAAGACTAGACTGCAGAAGGGACTCAGGTCCAGAGGCATTTCAGACGGCATGGAGGGGAACGGCAGCAGCGTCCCTCCGCGTTGCCTTCGGGGTGTCCCACCCGGGGAGGTCCGCAGAGCAGAAGGCTCTTCGGAGCTTAACCTCAAAAGCAAGGAGGAGTTGGAAGTATCGCCTCCTACGAGGAAAAACGCTCAGCAGAAACCCCCAAATGCAGAACATCTGTCTAAGAGCATGGGCCAGGGGCTTAAGGGATCAGGAAAAAATCTCTCACCTCAGAATCCCCGGGCTTGTACCTAAGGGCAAGGAGAGATGCAGGAGGCCTTTGTAATCCTGTTCAGAAAAGTAGGTGGAAACACTGCAGCCCCTGGAAAGGAAAGACCCTCTGCTGTCAGCTGGGCAGCGGGGCCCTTGGAAAGACAGCGGTCCAGCTGGTTGCACCACACTGAAAACTGAGACCAGCAGAACCCGAGCCCGAATTCACTGAGGGCCCCGGCTCTGTTTTCAGAAAACATCTGGTTACCTCATCATCACCAAGGCCAGCTCTGGCCAACGCACTGCGAACCGAGGCAGTGAGAAGACATTTCTGGTAGCAAGGAAAAGCCACAGCCTTTCCTTCCAAAATAAGCGTTTGCTGTGGCCCCGTGGAGTGGAAGGCGGGCCTCCCCAGCCTCCAGCGGCCACATGCCAAGACCTACAGCAAGGCGCGTTCACCCCAGGCTCACCAGAGTCCGGCCAGGCGTTTCTGTGCAAAGAGGTTTGCTCTCCAAACCCATCAGGTGCGCAGACGTAAAGTGAGAACAATCCCAGATAGGAAGGGGGAAAAGCATGCGTCCCTGGGGAACGCGGAGGTGTGGCCCGCATGGCGCCGTTCCAGGGCGCCCTGCAGCGCCCCCGCCCGAGCAGTTTACCTGGACACGTCGGGCAGCACGCTCCCAGGGGCTTAGAAGGGTTTTTACAGTGAACGACACAGCGCACCTCAGACTCCGTGACAACGCCTTCCTGGAAAACAGAACACCGCAGGCGATCAGCCCAGAATTCCCCCGGGGGGTCCCGCGCTTTTGGAAAGTAACCAAGGGAACTGGAGAAGAGTCTGAACACTAAACGTGCCGGGGAGGGTCGGGGTCAGGTCCCAGGTTCGTGGTACCAGTGAGGTCGGGTCTCCCTGGCTCAGCTCGTGGATGCTTTTGAACTCAGAGTGCTGACCGATTGCTGCTTGCCAGCCTGTTCTGGGGTCTTTCTGTTTGGGCCCAGTTTCTTTCCTTCTTTTAAATCTAGTGTTTGAGACCTTGCTGTCAGTCAGTAGCTGGGAGAGCCTCGCTGTTCATTCACAATGGTTTTATGTTTTCAGCACTCACTGTATTTTCTGTAATTGTTATTATACTTGAAGCCATTAATTATGAGGCAAAGAGTACAAGCCTCATATCCCAGGCTGGCATCTGGAGACCTAAATCCTTACCACCCTTCCAGAAATAACTAGGCCAGCTCCGCAACCTTGGAAATTTCACTCTGCCTCCCGCAGAGCCTGGCTCTCCAGCATCCGCTGAAGACTTTGGCTGAAACTATTTTCAAGTTATAATATATGTGTCAAAATAGAGGCTGCAGTAGGTCTTAATAATGAAATCAATGGCTCCTTTGCAAACTGGTCTCAGGACTCTAATATTTCAATGTCAATCAAAACATTTTTTTAGATTACGTTTTAGAGTTGGCTTTTGAAGACTTTTCACCATGTTCTCTACCTGTTTTACAAATGGATGTGCCTGTGTGTTTGTGTGTTCAGTTGCGCTTTGAGGGGAGGTATAGCACAGGCTGAAAATAATGTAACAATTGGATAACTAGACAGTTTTCTTCATTCTGTCTGCTACTGTATCATCTCAGTGTAACAAGGAAGGTTATATCCTAAATGTCTTCATATCTCTCAGGCCTGGGGTTTCTACTGCCTGGAAGGAACTGTTGTGGTCTCTCTCTCTCAAGCCTGGGGTTTCCACTACCTGGAAGGAAATGTTGTGGTCTATACCATATCAAGGAAGAAAAAACAACTGCAGGATACTGTAATAGACAACAGCAAAGAAAGGATGGCTGCTTTAGTTATATAACTGGAGCAAAGCAAAAGGCTGCAGCTCCAGATCAATTTCCCTTAATCTGCAACACAGATGGAGGATTCTGGTGAGTTCCAGCATGGATTGCCTGCCTCCTATCTTCAGAGTGTCCTCTTCCAGGAAAAAAACAAAAAACAAAAAACTACAAGCAGAAAAATAACAGTAAAGTTTTCACCACCAGAACTCCTTTGGTAGGAGAGTATAAGAAATAAGCTCAAATTCAACTCAGGTCGAAATAAACCAGGTCTTTAGACCAGATGTCACCTGCCTGGCACCCAGCTGGACCCAGGACACACAGACTCTACCGGAAGGGTTTCCAGCATCAGCCTCCTCGTCGCTCACAACCACCCATGAGGTCCTCCTATCCACATTGGGTCCGGGAGGTTCAGTAACAAGTTCCAGGGGTGGCGGAGCCCATATTTCCCCTACTACACTGCAGCGTCTCCTCCGTTCCTGAACCTGCGCCCTGTGGAGACAAGGGCTTGGGGAGGCTGCGACTGTGTTGTTCTACATAGGAGCCTCGTAAGTGGGTCCTTCCCTGCCAGGTGCCAGTGAACCGTCAAGGACCAGGGCTCCTTCCTAAAGAAGGAAGAAAGTACACAGGAGTGGGAAGGTGCCAGCCGAGACGAGGAACAGATTTCCGAAACTACTTCAATGTAGGTTTTGTTCTTACGGTTATTGTGTAATCATATTGAACAACATGATAGTTTTAAATTAATGAGCAGGGCTTAGGCAAAGGGTTTTGTTGTTGTTGTTGTTTTTGGTTTTTGGTTTTTGTTTTTTCTAGGAGGAACATTAAAAGGCCAAGTTCATTTTGGGGAGGTAGTGTTTCCTCCCTGTGCAGCATTTTGCAGGTCAGCATTTCCTGATTCCTGGGCTGCTGGTCTTTAGGATCTCTCCCAGCAACGATGTGATTGCTGGGAGAGATCCTAAGTGGGGTTACAGTCTACAGTCTGCATCATTCTCTCGGGCCCTGCTGACTGGCCAGTGGCTCTGAATAGGCAATAGGAGTTTCGGTGTTAACAGATGACGGTTTACTGTGTTATTCAGTCCACAGACTGTTCCCTCCCAGATGATAGTTTTCATTTAATTGAAACAAAGCCTTCATTCAAATTCACCACTGGTCAATGCAACCTAAGGATCTTCCAGACTTCTGACTGCTCTATAAATGTTATACAACACTCCAAAAGACATGCAGTATTTCTTGTTTAAAGGACATGTAACCAGGGCTCTCTGAATGCCCCTGTCAAAGAATGGAAATTTCATTGGTCAAAAAGCAGGGTGGGAATGGGGTGGTGCAGATTTTAGAACAAATGTGGGCTTTTGATGCTATTAAAACTCATTGTGCTGCCCTGGCTGGTATGGCTTAGTAGGCTGAGCACTATCCTGTGAACCCACATGTTGCAGGTTCGATTCCTGGTCAGGGCACATGCCTGGGTTGTGGACCAGGTCCCCAGTAGGGGGGTGCATGAGAGGCAACCGGTTGATGTTTCTTTTCCTCTTTTTCTCCCTCCCTCCCTTCCTTTCTCAAAATAAATAAATAGAATCCTTTTTTAAAGCTTAGCTTAAAAAAAAACCTCATTGTGCTTGTCTATTTCCATAAAGCTGATTGAACCTATAATCCAGGGTAGAAATTCAAAAAATATTTATTCAATTAGCCTCTTATTTATATCTGTTCTATCTACTACATATTTTCACAAACAGTTTAGATTGACTATATATATAAGCTGAATATTTAACTAAATGAATCGCTGAAGAGCTGACAAGTGAACCTGACTTCTGTGGGCCTAGAATAAGTACATGAATAGATAAAATTCAGACTTCAATAAACTTAATGTAAATATACTTGAGATAAGCTCAGAGAGAAATATACATTATTATATTAATCTTTCTTTTTCCTTTACATACAAAAGCATATTCTTGGACAGTAAAACGGGGCTAGGAGTAAGATGGTTTAAGAGCATCTTCTCTGCAGAGAAGAATTTTAAAATTATGTCAAAATTCAATAGGCACATTTTAAGGAGCATTTCTTAAGCAATAAAAATGGAGTTTGAAAATCTTGCTGTGTTTCAGACCTGTAACATCAGAGCCACATGGAGCCCTCTCTTTCCCAAGCTCAGTGAACACCAGCCACCGTGGACTCCTTAGGAGCTGGCCCGGTGGTTCTTAAATTTGTTGGGCTGGAATCAGTGGGGTTACAGTCTACAAATTGCTTTGATTGAATGTAGTGCACAGATTGGCTCCAATTCAAAATGTTTTTAAATCAAAGAAGGAAAACATACATCCGCTCACAGTACCTCTTTCTGCTGACAGGAATTTGTGTTTTGCTTCAAGTTGACTCACAGGAAGACGCTGAGTTCTCCCCAAGGACATATGCATCTTCTAGGAGTTTTTCCAGGCACAATTTAACAATAGTGAACAATTCTGCTGTGTGTTTCTGAAAGCAAGACCTATACAGTATCTATCCTGTGCCCGTCCTGTTTCGGTGGATGTCACGATAAATATGTACAAGAACACAGTTGGTTTTGGTGTTTTTTACCTGGCACTGGTGCAGGACACAGGGTTCCGCAGGATTCTGCCACTTGGAGGAGCTGTTATAGGTATTTCCTTCATAGGTGCAACCTACACCAGAAACAGAGAAGCAGGAACACAGGCCAACAGTGAATGTGGGTTTGCTTCCTTTATCTTTGGAGCAAAAGAAGTCATGTCCTCTAAGCCAGGACCAGTGATCGCAGGAACCACTGTACTCCTTGGCTATTTTACCCCAAATATAACTAAGCTTTCTCAATGTCTACTTGACTTTCACTGACATTAATTCTTTGACTACTGAGAAGATTAACCGAGCAGACTATATTTTCAAATGAAAAGCCATGGATTGATAAGCTCTCTTGGCCAAAACCCTTAACTTCATGAGTGACTTTACTTATACCTTGTGAAATAGGTATCAATAGGACCAGAGTGAAAATGGGGAAAGGGGATCTTATATAAGATTAAATGGACTCAATATTACAAAAGGTCAAGAGGAAAGTTTAAAACATGGTAAGAAGTAAAAGCAGAATATTAAAATATAGAAAATGATTATAAAACCCTATCCCCATCTAAGACTCTTAACAAGCTAGGACCTTCACCCGATAAAACCTTCCAAGTCTTGCCTCCCAGCTCTGAGAGCTATGATTTCATATTTGACTTCGATTTTACTTTCAGGTTGTAAACTAGATTAAGGAAATCTGAAACTATCAATGTAGAGATTATCACATGTTAATTCACTAGCCAAATCAGAAGTCATGCTCACCCATTTGAAACAACAGAAGTCAAAGGCCAGAGATTCTCAAAAGAGGCAACAAGCCAGTTCACTTAAGTCTCTGGAGAAAGAGCCAAAGAAATAGAGGTACAGCCCTGGCTGGGTGGCTCAGTTGGCTGGAGTGTCGGCCCCCTACACCAAAAGGTCGCGGGTTCAATTCCCAGTCAGGGCACATAGGAGAGGCAACCCATAGATGTTGCTCTCACATTGATATTTCTCTCTCTCTAAAATCCATGAACATGTCCCCAGGAAGGATTTAAAAATTTTTTTCATGAATGAAAAAAATAATAGTGCAAAGATCACAGCCTAGACCTGGATGTAGTTCGTCCAAACAACAGCCTTTGCCCTGTGCGTTCCCCTTCTGGGGATGATGCGCCAGCTATGCCTCGGGGCACCTCGCATTAGGTCACCTGGAGCTGCCAGGCAAAGGGATTTCCCAGTTCAAGTCCGACTGCTGGGCCCAAAGAGCACAGAAGCAGGAACACACACAGGATAATGCAGAAATAGAAGGACCTGCCTCTGCTACCAACTCCCGGCTTCTGGCAAGCCAATCAATGCCAATTCACATCAGTTTTACTTGTCCAAGATACAGAGAGGAGACCCACCTCCTTCCTTGAATTCTTTTAGATATACTGCTGTGGCAACAACAACAACAACAACAACGTCTCTTAATACATACAATACAAACAGAATAACAAAGGACTTCAGCAAATTTAGACCTTTTCAGAGGCTTGGAATTATGCTCTGAATTCCCAGAGCATTATGAATGACTGCAAAGAGCTCTTCACTCTAGTTCCTACAAATCAAACCACTGAAGTACACAGCAGATTGGAAACATATTAGGGAAATGCTTTCACTATATATTTTTTAATTTCCTTTGCATGAAGTGTTACAGCGATAAAATGTTCCACCACAGGAACCCCCCAGCACACTACAGATGCGTACGCCAAACCAAGAAAGAATAGAGTGAATTTTCAACAATGAAAACCAATAGAAAACAATTGGGGCTAGCATAAATCTTCCCAAACAAACTCACTTACAATGGACGTGCCACGTGCATGTCTGACCCACTCACACAGACTCACTCGGATAATAAATAACTTGTCCCGGGGGAGGGAGGGAGGCGGGGAAATCAGAGGACCAAATCCAATGTACGTGAAGTCCAAGTAAATATGAAATGCCTGCCAAGTCCACCAGTGGAATGTCCAAATATGTTATATATTTTCATTCTCTGGATTTAAAAAAAAAACCCTGAAAGATGGGGTGATTTTATGCTGCTAATAGGACAGGCAAAGCTCTTGCCTTTTTACTGTGGAGGCTGAAATGCTCTACAAAACCTGTATAGACCAAGGAGAGACTGCAGGCCAAGGGACTGTTCCCAACAATGCCAGGTCCTGTGCGGCGGGGGGCGGGGCGGTGTCCCAGGGAGGGAGCAGCCTCTCTGAATCATTCCGCTCCGTGTGGGATAACAGGCAGTGGAGCAAGTGTTTCTTGATGCAGGTATCCCAGTCAGTGGGAATAACTGTCAGTGGGAAGCTTGGCTCCTCTCCCCTATTTCAACATGTAAAGACCAAGGTCAAGTTGTAAAGTGCTTTATTGCTGCACTGCCCTTGTTCATATGTCAGTCCGCCACACCTGACTCCGTGCAATAGATTTTCCCAAATGTTGGATGAGTCTGAATGATAGAACAGACTCAGAAACACCCGTCGTTATTTCTTTAGTGAGTATAATCCATCCTTCTCCTTTGCCTACCCTCACCAGCCTCGGCTAGGGATGGAAACTCCAGCATACCGAGCATTCTGGTAGACTGCATATCTAAAGGGATTCGAGGGAATAAAATAACTTAGAAAAGGATTTGTTCATGCTCTTCATTTCATGTCCTGAGATAAACACATTCTCAATGTCAGACATTCAGATGAGCTATGTGAAGACAAATATACATGCAACCAAAGAACTTCATGTTCACTCCAGAATTACTTCTTGTTTTCTACAAGGCAAATTACTTTATAATAAATTCTATTGGCCATCACCTTTATGCTACTAATATGGCAGATAGGAAATATCTTGCCTTTGTTTTTATTTAAACCCCAGAGGAGTAATATATTAAATATCTTGTACTGGCCAGGGTAGAAAGGGAGGCAAAGAAAAATTTCCATTATACATAGAGACAGTGCTTCTCAAGCTACCTTTGGTGAAAGACCAATTGGTTTTGTTTTTGTTCTTCCAACCCAACGTGAACTAATACTTCCATAAAATATAATCAAAATGAATTACTAGAAAAGTTAAATTTAAAAGACTAGCACGAAAAATAAAACTGTTTTATTATTCTGTGCAACCAGATTGCTCTGTTGAATTCTAAAAAGCATTTCTAACTGCGTACTCTCCATTTCTGCATTTATCTCATTGGAGACCAGCATCACAGTCTATGGGTCATCGGTGACCTACAAAGCGCATTGTGGGCCGCACTGCATTGGAGGATGGGTTGTGGGGTCAATCTTAGAGATTTAGAACGAGAAGAAAACGAGAAGATAATATAGATTATCTTCTTCATTTTACAGGTGAGAAAATTAGCACAGAAAGATTAATGTAGCTTGCTCCAAGTTAGAAGGCATTAGGTGTAAAACTAACACTAGAATCCAGGTTCTGCATGAAATCCACATTTTCACACCCAAGGTCTAAACTAGCATCACTATTTGGACACTTCCAAATCACAGTATCCTTCCCATTAAGGACTTAAAGGTCCAGGAGAAAATCCAATACTACCCTTATAAAATTAAATGCAAGCAGATCCAGGAACTAAATGAAAGAGTGGTTAAGTGGGGTAAGCAAATGAATGGTTAGGCAACCAGTAAAGTAGCTTTCTCTTTGTCTTTAAATACTTTTAAATAGATCCTCAACAAGGGAATTTATAAACATTCATTAGTTTTCTTATGGTGATAAAAAGCTTTGCAGGTTGCACAAGTTTCAATAAAACCATCCATACTGCAACAAGAAGAAGTGGTTATTTTCTGATAAATTTACTACACTCTATTTAAACCAACAATTCTCAATCTAGGGCAATTTTGCCTCTCCCCCATTCCCTACCCAAGGGCCTTTGAGAAATGTTAGGGACTATTTTCAGTTGTCCCAACTAGAGGATAAAGGTGCTGCAAACATCTAGTGGATCGAGGCCAGGGATAATGCTAAACATTCTACATTGCACAACAAGAACTAACCAGTTCAAAATGTCAATTGTGCCAAGGTTAAGAAACTTGGACCTAAACCATCACACAGCCCTGGCCAGGAGCTCAGATGGTTAGAGTGTCATCCTGATACGCCAAGGTTGTGGGTTTGACCTCCTGTCAGGGCTCATGCAAGAATCAACCAATGAAAGCATAAATAAGTGGAACAACAAACTGATGTTTCTCTCTCTGTCTCTCTCTCTGGGTCACTAAATTCAATCAACAACAAAATTAAATCTTTGCATATAACCCAAAATAGTTCTTCTTTACAAAACTAAATTAATACAAAAACAAGCCTAAACTAGCTACACTTTCCTTTTGTATGTATTTTGCCTTTTTGTTGTTGTTATTAAATATTTTCAGGGTGAATAAAAATTGAAAACCTTTTTTTTTCTGTAAACATCTGTACTCTTAATAGAAAAACTTGGCCTAGTCAACAAGTCAACTCAGAAAATACATGGCAAGGGAAGCAGGAAGAATACAAATAAACTGAACCCACAATTAAGCAATAAAACTCGTTTTTCCTATTAGTTGTAACCTTTTCCAGTGGCCACATTATCCCAAGGGAGAAAGAATACCACAAATTTTCATCATTCTGTTGTTAAAATAGCTGTTAAATATCATCAGGACTATTAAAAAAACAGCATTGCACAGAAAGGCCTTCTAACAGCCTTTGCTCCACCTAGTTTCATCCTTCTAATCTCAGTCCATTCATTTCTCAAGTTAACATCAGCCTAAGATCAAAGAACTGTATCTTACCAATAACTCAACCTCTGACACCCAAGGGCCCCACAACGTGGCCCCAACTCTGTGCGCGCTCAGCCTCTGAAACATCCACGTCCGGGTCCCGCACAGGACTTTGTATGTAGCTGGAACCTAGTCAATGTTTAATTTCACTGCTGATTCACAGTGAACGCCAGCATAGAGCGAGTCCTGGAAACCAGAGAGAACACAGAAAAGACAATCTCCGCTGGACCTCCTGTCTTCTCCTCTGGGCTGGTGGAGGTGGACCAAGTCCACCTCCAGAAAGGGCAAGCTCTCCTGGATCAAGTCAGATGGCAAAGCCCAGGTAGTCTCACACCAACCTCCTTCCTCCTCCA